CAATTCAGTTATCAGTCCTAATTGTCAACTTATTGTCATAATGGATAATGTCTGTGGTAATAGCACCCAAATGCATTGGGGATATCCCATCTGTTAGACAATATCCAAACACCAATGTCAATCTAGTCAACTGTCATGGAAAATAAAAAATAAACAATTAAGAGTGGTTAATTAAAACTCATCTAGGCCTAGTGTAACAGCTATTGTAGCAAGTTCGAGTAGATTATGTAATCTGACGAGTCGTATACTTTCCATAGTCTGACAGTGTGAATCCTGTCTGCCACAAAGTATTTACAGACATCTAAAATATCTAGGCCTAGTTTAACAGCTATTGTAGCAAGTTCGAGTAGATTATGTAATCTGACGAGTCGTATACTTTCCATAGTCTGACAGTGTGAATCCTGTCTGCCACAAAGTATTTACAGACATCTGAAATTTTGTATGCCTTTAATTCCTTTCCTTTTTTATTTTCCTTGACGACTGACTAGATTGACATTGGCATTTGGAAAATATTTGATATTGGGGATATCCCATCTATCTGCATTTGGGTGCTATTACCACAGACATTATCTGTTATGACAATAAGTTGACAACCAAGACCGATAATGGTATTGCAATATTTAATTTAATATCGTTTTATAGTGCTGATTTAATCACCTATAAACAATTAGTGTAATCAATAGTTTTTAAGCTATTTATTTATTTATATATATTACATCCTCCACATGAGAAATTTGATAAGTCTTTTAGCAACTTACAACAGACAAGTACACATTTTCTAACTAGAAAAGATAATTGTTTCTATTTTAAGAAAAATAACTGAAATTAAAAACTTATTTGTAAATAGTAGTAATCTATATACTTATATAATGTATTATAACTGAAATGTAACTGTATTTTACAAAATACTGGTCCACTAGAACACAACCAAGACAAGTCACTTTGTAAAGGCCAGTATTATACTCTTGGATACAGTAACATGAGTGCATGTGTGCTGTGTTATTGCAACTTCTGTAATGTTAGTCATGCATGGCTGGAAGGTCAGTAAGATAAAAATAATTATTGTATATAGGTGTATAATGTTATGAGATTTGAGCTATTTAGACTAAACATTTGTATTTTCGTGTTATGATTTGTAGTCATTCTTTAATGAAAAAAGCATAATTTATATTTATTTCCTAATTTTTTTATGGTGGTTACGAGGTCTGTCAAATTGACCAAGCCCATACAGAGTTACAATAGTGAAAATAATAGATGAAATGTAAATTATTTTCTAGAAAAAACGTTTGATAATTATCTGGAGGTTATAAAATTTTGCTTGTGAAATTTGAAAATTTTCTGATGCATAAAAGTATTTTTAATCTTTCAATCAAAATTACTTTGCTTGTTAGATAGTCAACATTCAAAAAGAAAAAATGCATGAGCAAATTATTACGTAAAACATTGCTTTACAAACCTTAACACTTAAATAAAAAATTTATATTTTGCATACATAAGCCTTGTAATATTTACTGATAATCTGCAAAATTTCGTGAAGATATTCTTACCGTATTAAAAGTTATAGCATTAAAACTATAACAAGCACGAAATGGTTATGAGGTCGGTCTTTGGGACTGAGCCCGTAGTGAGATAGTTAAACAAAAAGAAATAAAAACGTGCACATATAAGAATGCAGGAGTTTTAAGAGCTCTCTTGCAAGATAAAGAACACTGAAACTACACAACAAATCTGGTGTGAGACCTTGAAAAACTCTTACTTAAAGTTAAATAAATTGAGGAATGCACCAAAATTTATAAAAGGCCACAATCTGCACTCATTACCTAAGTCAGCTTGCAGTTTTGTGCAGACAAAGGCATGGCTGCCTGTAGTTATTATCTGATAAGCCTACAAGAATAGCTCAGGTTGCCAATGTAATGCTTTGCTATCCCTGTAAGAGAACCAGATAATTTTAAATGGCCTGCATACTGACTCCATTTGCACCTAAGAGAAAGCAGAAGTTTAGTAACTTTCTTGAGTGCCTCATTGCATCCAAAATAGGAACCATGGAAAACAACACAATTTTAAAAATTCATTTTGACTAAAGGGGTGGGAAAACATATATCATTGCCCCCATACTACAACAGCTTATGGATATTAAGAAACTAAAACAGTTGATTTAATTACTAAACTTTCTTAAATATATATGTATAATATTACTTGAATTTCCTACTGTTATTTGTGATTATATTACTATAATAATTCATGCTTGGATATATCAGTGAATGAAAACTTGTTCCATTTTTATCTTGCTTATACAGATAGTGATGAAGAAGGCTGGACAACTCTTGTTTCTCTCAACAGTGGCCCTCAACTCTCTTACACCATTAGTTACCAAAATCTTCTACCATCAGCTCATTACATTTTTCGTATTTTTGCCCGAAACAAATATGGAATCAGTCTCCCTGCTATATCAGATGAACCTGTGGACACACCTAGTAAGTTAATATGTCTGGTGTACTGTAGATAATGTAGAATAGCAGTTAAAAGCACATAGTAAGTATTAGGTAAGCAAATGTTAGGTACACAGTGAACCTTAGATTATGCTATAAAGAACTGAACACATTGTCTTTTTAAGCTTTCAGATTTGCATAAAGTACATGGTACGTTCAGAGTAATGAAGACATCTAGTAAGTCTTTCAGCTGTGATAAAATATTTAGCACAAATGATCACCAGAATGATAAAGTAGATTCCAAAAAACCCAGAAACTCGAGTAATTTTATATGGTTGACTGTTCTTTTTTAGGAATGAAAATGGTTAAAGTCATAGAGTATGACATAACAAGTTTTTATAATCTGTTAATAAGTGTGTGAAATGTTGTAATAAAGAATAAACTGATAACATTTGACATCTACATTTATTTACAAAAAAAAGTATTGAAAATAATTACAGGAATTAACAGAATTCACAAACTATAAATAATTGTAAGTAAATGGTCAAGTTATCATAAGTACAATACATTATTACAGAAAATATAGGAGAAAAGCAAATAAACTTTACAGTGCATTATTATTTTGTATTTGCTACCATACATTTATCAGGTTTATCAAAGTATGAGTGTAAAATACCAATCCAAATGTTCTGTGTTACTACTCACAGTTCAGCCAAGTAGTTTGTTTGCTTTTTGACCTTCATCATATTCATGTCAAGATCTTGTGCAGGCTAAGCCATTAGTGTGTGTGTGTTCCATTGGCCCTGTGTTCCTTACAGGTATTGTTTCACCAAATTTGCTGCATGCTTGGGAGCAATATCTTGCTAGATTGCTGGAAGATGAATCCCTGCCTAACATTTTTTATTTTTTTTTGGCAAAAGAATGACATGATGGACAAGACTGTTTATACCTGTCAGCAGTCAGGGTGGTATCAGTTTGTATAATTTTCAACAGTGGGCTTTGTTGTTCATGCAGAGATCCCAACCCTAATTTATGTTAATTAAATGAGAACATTAGTCTAAAAAGAAAGTCAGAATCAGCAGAAAATTGAGAACAATTTAATTTCAACAGTCTCTTCCTGTCATGATCAGTACTGAAATCCACAGAGTAAAGTATACAAAATGCATGGTTTATATTTATTTTGGATGATTTAATGCACATCCATTTGGCAGTATTTTCAGATTTAACTTTCTTCAACACCCATGCTTGGTAAAAGTTCCTTATTGGGGACACCTTTTGTAATTGTTGGGGTTGATGACTAGCTGCCTTCCCCTCTAGTCTAACAATGCTAAATTAGGGATGGGTAGCACAGATAGCCCTCATGTAGTTTTGTGCAAAATTCAAACTTAACTTCACTTTTGAAGAATTTGGGTTTTCTTCCTTGACCACTTGCACTATCAACAGTACTATTTCTATGAACCCTCTTCAGAGTTTCTGTACAGTTCCCAATAAAACATGAAATTTCACACAGTGTGTCTTGTGGAGTAGCTTTCACCATCCAGAACTTTTAATTTCAGTGTTTGTTTTATGACATTTTTGTAGTAGGAACCATGAGTGACTTCACCACAGTATTTATGGGGATATATGATTGCCTGCCCTTTTATTAGTATAATGCTGATATGGTACTGCTTTATTGGTTGGATAACAGTCACAGTGTTAATATTAACATTTTACTGTAATCTGATGCAGTTCATTTTCATACAGTTGCATTGTATACACATTTTATTCACTTTTTCCATAATTATTTTCATTACTGTACATTGAGATATAAAAAGAAGTTAATTTCTTAAATTATTTGTTACTAAGACTAATCATTCTGACATGGATTATATTTCCAAAAACATTTTTTAAGCTTACGATAGGGGTGATTTTTTTAGAATATTTACAAAGTCCTGTATCCTCTCCTAGAAGTTGAGAATATTTTCTCTTGTACAAGTTCAATTTATGTAATAATAAAAAAGTTAAATAAAAGTTATTATAAATGTTTCAATTTATTTTTTGAATAAAATAGCAATTTTTAATATCACTTTTATACACTCATTGAAGTGTCTAAAGGAACTGATTCCTACTCTTTATGATGGCTAATTGTCATTAATTCAAGGTAATTATGCATTTCATATAGTAGTAATGTTATATAAACTTGATGTTGTTCAACCTACATTTTTCTAGGTGAGCTGTTTCTGGAATATCGACAGAAGCTACCTTTCTACAGAGAAATCTGGTTCTTGGTGATGCTGGCTGCAGTTAGTGTGATCATTATTATCATGGTGATTGCTGTTCTGTGTGTAAAAAGTAAAGCCCATTTGTATAAACGTAAGTAGTAAATGTGTTGCACATCTAGATTGTTATTGTTGAAATGTTTGGTGTGATAGAATATAATGTTGTTATACAGTATGAACATTACTTATAACTGAGTAATGGGGAGTTCTCACCCATCCTTTATGCAATAGATAACAGTTTCATGTATATCAAGAAATATATTTTTTTGTAATTTTTAAGTGCATATAAAAATTATTTATTATTCAGTATGTATGTCATTACAGTCTGTTAATTTGAACACACTGATAATACTGGTATTATACAATTGTGAACTGTTTTGCATAAACTGTTGCATTAAACAGTGCTAAATGTAGCATTAATCAGTTTTTTAAAACATTTTAAAGGTGTTCTGGGTTTACAGTCAACTTCAAACAATTTAGTCAAAAAATTAAAGAAAAACAAATAGTTTTAAAAAATTAATGTTTTATGGCTTATGGATGGAAAACAAACTCGGAGCCTACATTAAACTGAATATGTCATAATAAGTAGAAGCAAGAAACATTAATATCACAGTTGGTCATTTTTAAATAACACAGGAATGAAACGGGATATCTATTCATATTAAGTTTCTAATTCTCTAACGTGCTGTTTATTTTGATTATTAATATAAATGTAAATTTTGTCCGGAAACAACAATGTTTATTTGGAGTTTAATTAATGTTTTTATAAATGTACCTTCAAATTGCTATTAATCTTGTCAAAGTAAACATCTTATTTGCAGGATATATCAAGTTATACATATGTGTGAGTGACAAAGTTGTTTTATTTATCTTGGATAAAGTTTTTATGTACATTTCCTTGCAAAGAGTAAATAAGAGTCACTGGAATGTACAATATCTAGCAGTTTTTTGTAACTGATCGATTTCAGGCATACATATTGTGATGTGAAACGAAATTTGATTGTACTTGGATATATGAAATATTTATTATCAGACACTGACTTAATGGTAGAATGAAGGTTTTTTTTAGTTCTTGTATGAACTGAATTGAGAAGCAAAGATTGTTCTTTAATTTTTTTTAAAATTAAACAAATTGCAATAAATGTTACAAGAGTATTTTGTATATACACTGAACAGTGAAAGTTAAGAGTATATCATTTATACATTTTTATTCTGGTAAGTTCCTGGAGGTTTTATGTAAAGTAGGGATCAAAATACTCTGTATTTGTTCAAAAGTTTTTAGTAAGTCATTATAAAAAGAATTTGGAAAAATATAATTCATAAACATGCTTTATTTTACTATCTTAATTAGTTAAATAGTATAAAGTTTAAACAAATGCTTCAATAAACAGTGCAATTACATTGTGAGTTATGGTTTTCTCTTTGAATCCAGAATTCAATGAATCTATCTATGTAAATCATGAGTTGTGGTTTTCTTTGTGAATCTATAAAGTTTTAGAAAGTCATTTATGTACATTGTGAATTGGACCTGGCATGGCCAGGTGATTAGGGTGCTTGACTCGCAATCTGAGGGTCATGGGTTTGGATCCCTGTCCCACCAGAACATGCTTGCCATTTTGGCCATGGGGTGTTATATAGTGATGGTCAATCCCACTATTTGTTGGTAAAAGAGTAGCCCAAGAGTTGTTGGTGGGTGGTAATGACTAGCTGCCTTTCCTCTAGTCTTTCACTGCTAAATTAGGGACAGCTAGTGCAGATAGCCCTTGTGTAGCATTGTGCAAACTTCAAAAGAAACCAAACATCATAAGTTATGGGTTGTTGTTGTTTTTTTGAATTATAAATTCTATGAAGTTGTTTATGTGTATCTTAAGTTATGATTTTCTCTTTGAATCTAAAATTCTTGAAAGTTGTTTATGGTAGTTTTAAATTCTTTCACCATAAGATCTGCAATGTTTCTCTTTTAAAAGAAAGCAAGTACCAGACAGGAATGAAAGGCTTGTATTAAATGTACTGGTAAAACAGTTGATAGACATTCTTATACATACCTATTCCAATTGGTAAGCATGGAACACAAATCTGAGAAAACCAGTTCAATAAGTTTGGCATAACTTAAGCTCATGATTAATTATTAAATACACCCTGAACAAAATTTTATTATTTTGTGAAACAGATATATATAGTACTTATAAGTATATATATAATTTTGTTTAAGTATTATATTTCACACAGTTTGATTATAACAATCGGTATGTTCATATTTAAAAATTCTTATGAGATTGAATTTTAAGATTCAGTTTGATATCTGACTCTAAGAAGCTATGCCCGGCATGACCAGGTGGTTAGGGTGCTGGACTCGCAATCTGAGGGTCACAGGTTCAAATCCCTATCAAGTTTTTACACTAATATAACTACATAATAAGTATCTGGGCAATTAAGAAATGTTCTTTCATCTGTAGGTGAAGCTCAGAAATCTATGCAAGAAGATCATATCAGTATGAATGATGAAGGATTTGCAACATTTGAACTCAGACAGTCTCGTAGGGGAACATTGCGCAAAAACTCCTTGTCTCGTAAAAGTAATGGTACCCTTGTGTCAAAGTAAGTAGCTTGTGTGTTCATTGTAATACTAATATTTTTATTTTAAACCATACTTAAAATATTTGAGTTAGCGCACAAGTAATTTATTGGAGTCAACTGATGTCCAAATTACTCTAGTAATATATATCAATACAAACATCAGAGAAAAAACAGTAAATGTGTTATTTTATTTGTATGTAGATTACAAATGGATTGATTTAAAAATAATTTATCAAGAATTAAATGAACAAATATACCAAAGAAAGTTAGGTGTCCTAATTAGCTATGTTCCTTTTACAGACCTCCCCCCAGGCCCAGTCCTGGAAGTATTACATACTCTGATGATGAAGATATTAAGGGATATGATGAAAATGGAGATAGTAGCAGTTTAACAGAGAAACCTTCTGAAATCAGTTCCACAGATTCACAGGTGACAGTTTTGTCTCTTAAATAGATAACTGCGTAATTCAGTATGCTTAAATCGGTTCCACTTGTACATTATCTTATACTGCAATAATGGCTATAAGTATTTTAAGTTAATTACTGATGTCTGTTGCAAACAAAGTTAAAAAGAAACTGCTTCATTAAGTTTTTAAAATAGAATATTTCCTAAGAGATAGTTGGAGTTTGTAAACTTTGTACTGACTAGCTATAAAGGTAGTGTAGAGCAACTGATTACTGTCAAGATGAGGTGTAGCATGTACCTTTTATGGTAAACAGCTGCTACCCTCTATCAATGTAACAACCGTATTAATACTTTGTTAAAAGTAATGTTGAACAGCTGATTGCTACCAGGATAGTATGTAGCTATGTTGGTAAATACCTGTTACTTTGTATCAATAGAACTAATACTGGGTTTTCTGGTTTTTAGGCCACTGAAAGTGACCAAGAAAGTGAACCAAAATCTTTTGTTAATCATTACGCAAATGTGAATGATACTCTCCGGCAATCTTGGCGGCGTCAGAGACCAGTAAAACCTCCGAGTTATACAGATAGTGAACCAGAAGGAAGTGTTGCAGTAAGTTTGAATGGTGGCCACATTATTATGAATAATATGGCTGGGTCCCGAGCACCTCTACCTGGATTTTCTTCCTTTGTCTGATATTAACATAAAACTTTAAACAGATTGCTTGTAATCCTTAAAAACAAATATCTCAGAAAAGTTGGACCAGTTCATTTCTTTTTAGGATATATATATATTAAAAAGAACTAGTGCTATAACGAACAGTTCCATTGCCAAAGATGTGCCCACATTTTTTCTTAAGCTCAAATTGACAATCATCTAAATTTTTCCTTCCACAACTGTAGTAATATGAGCCAGAAAAGAATCAGTTCCATTTTGGTTTATATTAGTCATTTGGTGAAAATGTGGATTTTAAACCTACTATCCTGTGAGATATGACTAAAAAATCTGAGCTGGAGATAAAGCTTCTTTAACCTTATGTATGAAAATGAAGGTTCTGTTAGACACTACAGCATTTAGCAGTGCATGTGAAATGTCTAACCTAGTACTTTTTTTTTTTTTTTGGTGACCGCTAGAACTTATGACACTTTTCTGTGGTACTTAACCATAAGAGATAAGAAAAGAAGCTTGTGGTAGGTAAACTGTAGTTGAAAGACAAACATACAGAAATCTGTTTTCTAATTCTCAAAGTTACGGCCACAATAGGTTGATTGCTGACGTTAGAGCTCATTGTGTTTGTGAATCTAAAATATTTGTATACAAGAAAAAATTGACATTTTCATATGAAATTCAAGCACAAGGTGAAAAGAAGAGTGAGAGAGACTACTAGAATGATTACTCTTGATACTACATTAGTCTTGAAAAATACTGAAATACCAAAAGAAAACTACTGAAAATGTATGAACTAATGGATTATAAGTGGGCTTTACACAGGTTTTATTCCAATGTACCAGTGTGCTGGATATGAGATCCGAGGCCTTATTACCACTTGTCTTGTTAGAAGCACAAGCAGGTGGTGTAATACCAACATTCCTATTAGTTGAAATCATGATGTAGTTAAGCTTTTATTCAGCTATTTCCTTGGTTTAATGGTAATGTGCAGTGACCACATAGCCACCCCTATCTTCTCATTCTTTTACTGACCTTAATATTATATAATATACATTATTTTTATTTTCTCCCTAAGTGTCTCACAGAAAAACAGGCTTAACTTGTAATTACATTTAATTTTCATTTTTATGAAGTGTCCTTTTTTTTGAAAGATGTATTATTTATGAACATATTCTGCAATATTAATGTTGATAGCTTCAGGGTGTACTAGTAAACTTAGTGTTATTGTAACCAGTCTCTGTGAATTTCAGCTTAAGATTATAAAACGTTTATTTCTTTTAAGTCCAGTTAAAATTTTTAAATAGTGGTGAATATTACATTTGTTCTCACTTGGAATTTACACAGACTGGCCTAAACATTTGAGTCCGTCTCATATTTAGTGATCAAAGTTCGTGTTCAATTATTTTCTTTAAAATTTCACAATTGAAGATGCAGTGATAGCACACTCATTTTCTGGTTAAGGTTTCATTTTCTTAGATTAATGACAGGAGATTCTAGTGTTTTAAGGTGGAATTCTGCTCATGAACCGAAAATGACGTGGAAAATTCTAGGCTCATTCATTTAGACAATGGTTGGGAATACTTTTGGTTTTGTAGGATTTAACATCACAGTTCTCTTTTATTTGATTGCAGAGACTTCTTGTGGTTGATCCAGTATACCTCATGAACACATGAACTTGTATGCCACTAGTGAGGTACTCCATAATGTTATCTGTCTTAAAAATAGAAGAGCCATTTTAACCTATACTGTTTTTATAGATACGTTTTAACTAAACTTCTTAATCATGTATGAAATAGCAAGCAAACTGTCTGGTGAAATGACTTGGCATGGGGGGGGGGGAGAATTAACCAGTATTAAGCCCTGTGACTTCAAACTTGTATCCATTGGGAATATCCAGAAGAAGAAAATCATAACAATACATCTTCAATTAGGAAAATGTAAAGAAAATAAAATGAACTTAAATCATCCTGTACATTCTACAAAATTAAAATTCCTGATGTTTGGACTATTATTCTTTCATGGTTGAGGTTTATATCTGTGTATCTTTACAGAAAGAAAAGTGCTAATTATTTTGGTAGATTTTTTTTTTTAAATCTAGAATGATAGAAACAAATAATAGTTTAAGTAACATCAATAGAATTGACCAGAAAATATATATATCTAAAGAGAACAGCAACATTAAAATGATTAAAGTGAGTATATATATTTTTAATATTGAATGCTTTGGTACTAAAGTTATTATTTTAACATTGCATTTTCTATTCTGTGAGGGGACCAAATGAAATGAGCACAATGTTAGTGTAGGAGAAGTTGATATGATTAGTGTAAGTATAGGACACTCAGGGTCATCAAAGTTTTTCAATTTTATTCATAAATACCATTCTTTAGGCTATAACGTAGCACTTTCATGCTGTCATATTGTTTGTTTTTCATCTGAGTTCAATTTCATTGTATATTTTTATCTATTTTCAAGACCTTCCTATACCATATTTATTATTCATTGCTACTCATATGAAATTATCTGAAGTAACTGAACTTTAACCATTCCAGTAAGTGTACTTAATCATGCATTCATTTTTCAGTTAGTTGTTTGTTAAAATTACTTCTGTGTTCTCAGGATTATTTCATAATTAGATCACATTAAGCACTGAAACATCTTTCCTCATATTGTGTACAAGACTTTAGTATTGCTTATTGTTGTATGTATTGATATGGTTGACAAAAGGACAGACACTACTGTACTTAAGTTACTGTTTATTATTGCAGTCTTTTAGTTCGTTTGATGTATTTGATTTAATCCTGCAGCAGATATATTATTGTGGTGTATGTCAGCAATAATTAACTAATAAGTAGTACATGTACAACATGTTTATATTTTTTTATTTCTTTATATAAAATATATATTACTTCAAATTCATCACGAGCATCAGGAATTGAAGTTTATCAGTTGAAAAACTGTTAAAAGAAGAAAGTGTAAAACTGATTTATCAAAACCTATAGGTTGACTGAAATTCACCTTTAAATAATGGAATAACCTTGACAACTTATAGTCCAGATCATTGTAACTTTTCGTTGTATCTCAACATTTGGATGGTATGACTTTTTGACAAGACATGCTGGATGATCTCAATTCTTCACCACGTGTTTTAAATATAGAAAAGTAGTAGTTTCTACACCTGTGAGTGATATATGTGAAATTGTGACATTTGTTCAAGCTATTCCATTTTTATTCTCATTCTACAAGGGATTAGGAGATTAACTTTCAGTGGGTTCTAAGCATCTATAATGTGTTTTTTTTTTGTTGAAGTGTAACTATTTGTATTACATATTGGTAGATGAGAGTATTTTGTCAAGATCTGAGGATTTTAAACTGTGATGTTTCATTGATTTTCAATAAAGTTTTAATTTCACTGCCATAAACATTAATTTAAATGTTGTTTTTTATTTCAGTGGCCCTAATCAATCGCATATTTGTTAAAATATAAACTAACAATAATATTTAAACCAGGTGGCCAATTTTATAGCAGTTTTGCCAATTTTAGGTTCTGAATTTTAAATAAGGTACCATTGACCCAAAAAACACTCCAAACCTATAGGCATCACAAATTAAATGAAATAATTAATAGTACCAGCAGAAACGTCTGCCCTACGGACGGCTGTTTGTGCTAGTAATTACTAATCCTAGTTATTTAAACCTCATTGAAAAAAATTTAGAAAAGTGAACATTTTCTGAAAAATAATTTTTCTGGGAAGTACTGCACGGGAAAAGTGTTCTGAGTGTGCTGATATAAACTGTAATGTTTTTATATATTAAAAGTGATTACTGTCTTCTGTTCAATAGTAAATCATAAGTTAACAATTATATTTTGTTTTGGATGATCAGTGATAGTCATTATTTGATAGTCCCTGAGATAACAAACATATAAAGTTCACCACAGAAACTTGTGACCTAGTGTGCTGATTTTTGCTTGTTAAAAAAAATCTTACACATAAACTAGTAAATCAGTTGACCCTTTATAAATCATTTTATATTTTAATCCCTGAATTGAAAATTTTATCAATGTTCTAAATTTTGGTACTTTAAACAACTTATGTGGCATAAATACGTTGCTAGACTGCTACTTTATAACAAACAAGCCCGTCATATGACAGGAAATAATGATTAATTTTTCTTCTCAAAATTATATCTAAACAAATGTTTTGTGAACAGCAAGTGTCATTAACAGAAGAAAAGGAAACAAGAGTTTCTGTTTGTTGTATCTCCACAAAATGTACTAGTTACAAAAAAAAAGACCATTTCAACAAATTATCTATCGGTATAACAAGAATGCAAGTCTTTCAAAAGTTTTCAATGTGTTTGACAATTTCTAAAGACTAGATAAACACGGTTAAAGGTGAGGCACAGCCTTTTCGCAGCAGAACGTGTAACTCACCATAGGGACCTACACTAAAGATGTTGACAACTGTATAAATAAATATATATTCACATGTTATAAGATGTTTGGTTTATGATATCTACACATCACAACTCTTCCCCCTCCCTTTTACCTTAGGTCACCCTTAATTTAAAAAAAAAGTACCCAGTTTGCTATGCAATATATCAGGGTATAATATCTTGATATAATACATATGAAGATGCATTTTAGAATGTCACAATGAATAATAAGAATCAAAATAATTTAGCACAGATACCAAATAAAATTTATCTTACTATTCAAGAAATTACAAAATTGTGAAACTGTAAATAACTTGTTTCAGTATGCAACTTCACCTATAAAGACACCCAGCAACACAATATAGTTAAATGTTCATCAAAACCCTTCAACACAGGAATTAAGTTTACGTATTTAAATACAATTAGGAAAGTTAAATGTATGTGATAGAAGTTAATATTAAGTGGCTTCACTTAGATGAATTCTCGAGTTTTACTAATATTGCCAGTACACCAAATTGAAGACATTTTTACCAACGTGAGCTAAACACCGCGTATTAAGCTAACCACCTGGATTTCAGAACCTGCTTATAGCTACAGAACACACACAAAAAAAAAAGACTCAAAGTATCAAGTTCTTGTGCATAAGAATAGGGTATTCATACATAAAGAAAGTCAAAACAAGTATGGCATTATATTAGACATGGTTTGCACATGTTTAATCTCTGTAACAGAAGGTGTGAATGTAATTTCTGATGTTAAAACGGCTAAGCTCAACATTTTATCAAATTAGTCATAAAATAGGCCTAGGTTTTGCTATAATTTAGAAATATTGCACATAATCCAGATTTGAAGCGAACTATCACAATTGCTTTAAATATGTTTACAGTTTTTACAAGATATTTAATTATTTCATATAAAATACTATTTATATGTATATATATATATAAAACGTTTTCATACATAAAGAAGCTTTGTGGTATGCAAATGCCACATAAAGTAGTATATGAATTTCTTTCTTGCTCAATTTATGAATTTTTCTAAAGCTTCTATTCAGAATATGCTAAATCCGATCGACTTTGTTTGCCTAATCAAACGTAGGTGTTACTTCTGTGGCATGACTGTCAAGGAGCTATATACTGTTTCCTAGGAAACTTGTATTGTGTCCTTCATGTGTATGTAGGACTACTCTATAACTGTTACGTGGAGCAAAGGTACTCTCATTACTAGCGATCCCACTTTGTAATTGGTCAGCTACAAAGCAGTTTTGAAATTATCAGTCAGGTTTTCGTGTCTGATGCCTATTAAACGATACAACACCAACACATACCAGTGACACATATCACTCCAATGATATACTAAATATGTGGATGTGTTCACCAACATTAATAAGGTTCAGACACCTACTTACTAAATAATGCAACACATATCGGTGATATACTAAACCTGTATATGTTCACCAACATTAATAAGGTTCAGACACCTATCTACTAAATGATACAATACATACCAGTGATATACTAGACCTGTATATGTTCACCAACATTAATAAGGTTCAGACACCTACCTACTAAATGATACAATACATACAAGTGATATACTAGACCTGTGTATGTGTTCACCAACATTAATAAGGTTCAGACACCTACCTACTAAATTATATAATGCACACCAGTGATACATGTCACTCCAGCAATATACTAGACCTGTGTATGTGTTCACCAACATTAATAAGGTTCAGACACCTACTTTCTAAATGATGCAACACATACCGGTGATATACTAGACCTGTGTATGTGTTCACCAACATTAATGAGGTTCAGACACCTACCTACTAAATGATGCAACACATACCAGTGATATACTAGACCTGTATATGTTCACCAACATTAATAAGGTTCAGACACCTATCTACTAAATGATACAATACATACCAGTGATATACTAGACCTGTGTATGTGTTCACCAACATTAATAAGGTTCAGACACCTACCTACTAAATGATGCAACACATACCAGTGATATACTAGACCTGTGTATGTGTTCACCAACATTAATAAGGTTCAGACACCTACCTACTAAATGATGCAACACATACCAGTGATATACTAGACCTGTGTATGTGTTCACCAACATTAATAAGCAGCTTTCTAACATTCAACGTAGGAGAAGATTCATACTGCGACCATTTACCGAGATGGAATGTCTTCGAGCTCTCACCACACTAAAAGCAACTAAAACACACACAAAAATTTAACCACAAAAAGGAATATTGGAAGAAATATTAACAAAGCTTCTCGAACATGAACCCATCACAATAGCAGCCTGGATATAGACAGGTGGTGTTTAGTAATCTATACAAATAGCAGACAAATATATACCAAAATTATCAATAAACAATACCCAAACCAACTGGCAACCAAACACTGATATAATCAACAAAATAAACGAAAGAAGAGAATATATACCAACTGGTGACCCACAGACAAAATTAGACACCTTATGTACACAAATAGACCCAAAAACAGATCCCAAAGGTTTCTGATCCCATATAAACAAAGGCTACAAAGTCAAAGAACACAATTACCACCATTTACCCTACACTTAAACATAATAATAAGCTAGCATACACAATAAACAGAACGTACATGCCTTTAAAGAACAACTCCAAAAAGAACATTCCAAACACCAGACGACTCAAACATGTACAACCACTTCATGAACATAGTAAATAAATGTATCACAACCAATCGTAATATATATACACCACACTTCACTCAACACAATAACGTAACAACAGAAGCGAAACACGAATACACACAACAAAACTTATCAGACCCATCACAGTAGCAGAAGTACAAGAAAACATAAAACATTTGAAAAACAAAGCACCAAGACAAGACAAAATTCAAAACTTATTACTCAACAAAGGCCCTCTGAGATTATTAGAACATCTCACATCTTTATACAACTTATCTCTTAAAAACAGGATACATACCAACAGCTTGGAAACAGTTCGATGCTCAAAAAGGAAAGTAAATAAGCGCATTACCACAAAAATTACAGACCCATAAGACTAACAAGCAATCTAGGAAAACTGCTTGAAAAAATTATAAATAATAGACTCGTAAATTACCTCGAAACTAAATTAATACTCCCGGAAAAACAAAATGACTTTCGGAAAGCAGACGTTAGTGGTTGCTATTTTGGGACTTATGCCTGTAAGAACCTAACATTTCATAAAATGTCTTCATATCTATGGTTTATTTGGGGAAATTTAGTATGTGACATTTTATGTCCTTGTTAACACCCATTGAGAGGGTCACAATTCTTTAATTTTATATACAATGCTATACCCTCTTAGCTATATCTCTCTTTCTTTCTCTAGTTCAAGCCCCCATTTTGCTAAGTTTAAGTTCTTTATTTTAATACTCCTATGTTTGGCGATCGAAATGAATTAGCTCTCAATAATAGTTCTTATGAGAGTTTATAAAGTTAGCTGTTTAGTAAAAGCGGTGTCTTTCATCCATATTCAACTTTGATTGTTTTTGAATATAGCTAAACTTTGTTTTCACTGTATTATCTTCGATTACCCTCTTTAACAATCTCCGTCTGCAGAACTATCTTGTTCACTCTTGGGTGAAATCAAATTTCCCCGCAAATACAACACAGCACCAGTAATAAGTCCCTGTTTCAATCATATGAGGAAATATGTGCCATCCACCTCTGCAACACATAAGAGTAGAGGAAAATCCATCTCGGTGTAAATGCTGATGGAAAGAGCATCAATCCGGGCTAAAGATGTTACTAAGCCCGTTATTGGTTAAGGGGCACGTCTTCTCTAATATGAATGAACTTAGTTTTGCGTATCTTCCATGGAGCTTTGTCCATTTCACACACAAAATATTTCACCAAAGCAAGAGCTTTCTGTAGTTATGACCATTGAAAAGAGAAGCTGATTCCAATGTAGCCATCCCTCATCCACTTCCAATACCCTTACCATACAAGTGGA